TGGTTAAGAGCTATGGCGGCTAACCAAAAAGGTTAGCAGTTCGAATCCACCAGCCACTACAGGGTTGCTATGAGTCAGAATCAACTTGACGGCAATGGGTTTGGTTGTAGTATAAAAAAAAAAAAAAGGAAGTAAATGAGTTACTAATCTAGGTGAAAAAGTCAGGAAACAACTAAATTAGCTGAAGAAAAACAGAGGAAAAAAATTATAAAGATCAAAGCAGAAATTAAGGAGTTAGAAAACAGAAAGCCAGAAAAGCTAAAAAAAAAAAAAAAGAATCAAAAATCTTTTTTGCTGGTAAAAAATCAGTTGATTAAACTACTTGCTAACCTAAGGAAGAGTAAAAAGGAAAAAGCATAAATACACAAAACAAACAATGGAAAGAAAACACAAATTAGCTAAAATTTCAATAAAGAAACTACTTTTAAATGCCATAAAAATAAATTTTAAAACATAGACAAAATGAGTAATTTTCTAGAAAAAGATAACCTAATGTTATGGATTGAATTGTGTCCCCCCAAAATGTGTGTCAACTTGGCTAGGCCATGATTCCCGGTATTGTGTGGTTGTCCACCATTTTGGGAACTGATAATGATTATCTTATGTGTTATAAATCCTAACCTCTATGATGTTAATGAGGCAGGATTAGCAGCAGTTATGTTAATGAGGCAGGACTCAATCTACAGGATTAGGTTGTATTTTGAGTCAATCTCTTTCAAGATATAAAAGAGAATTGAGCAGAGAGGAGAGGGTCCTCATTACCATCAAGCAAGAAGAGCCAGAAGCGGAGTGTCCCCTTTGGACCCAGAGTCCCTGGGCTAAGAAGCTTCTAGACCAGGGGATGATTGATGACAAGGACCTTCCCCCAAAGCCAATAGAGAGAGAAAGACTTCCCCTGGAGTTGGACCCCTGAATTTGGACTTCTAGCTTCCCAGACTGTGTTAAAGCCACCCACTTGTGGTATTTCTGTTTGGCAGCACTAGATAACTAAGACATCTACCAAAACTGAACTCAGAAGAACCTAAACAGACTCATTCTCATGGAAGAAATGGTAGTTTTAAAAGTGCTACCCACCAAAACAAAACAAAACACCTGGCCCACAAGGTTTCACAGGGGAATTCTACCAAATCTTAAAAGAGCGGATAATTCCAATACTATTTAAAAATTGCTGTACAGTGTAGAAAATGAAACGCTTCCAAATCTTTATGAAATGTATTATTAATACCAAAAATTGAAGAAGACTGAACAAAAAAAGAAGACTGCAGATCAATCTTACTTTTGTATTTTGATTTTAAAAGTTTAAGTTATTAGCAAACAGAGTCTAGCTTCCCATTAAAAGAATCCAGAAACGCAAGTTTGGTTCAGGGTTTGTTAAAAAGAAGAGAAATACCACATCAACAGCTCCACAGATACTAAAAAGGCATCTGACAAAATTCAACACCCATTCTTGATTAAAAATACTTGATAAAAATAAGAATCAGTAGATGTTTCTTAACATAATATATACATACATATATGCAGAAATGCTGGAAACGTTCCTTCTAAAGCAAGGGATAAAAAGAGGATATCCATTAATCATTACTACTTAACACTATCTTGTCTGATTAGTCAACCTAATCTGATAAAAAAAAACTGCTGTGTGCAGAGAAGAACTGCTCCATTCATTTTTATTCCCCCCTCCACTCTGCTTTCAGGGCTGTGACCTTCTAGAAGCAGATCGCCAGGCCTGTCTTCTGAGGTGTCTCTGGGTGGGTTCAAACTGCCAACCTTTCAGCTAGCAGTCGAGCGCTTAACTGTTTGTGCCACCCAGGGACCCCAAGAAAAAAAAAGAGAGGTACAAAAATACAAAAGAGGTAAACCTATGACAATCTGCAGATGATATGATTATGACTAAGAAACCCCAAGAAAATCACTTGAAACTACTATAAATAGCATAATTGAGTAAGGCAGGGGGATAAACAGTACACAGAAATCAAATGTCTTCATGTAAATAAACAATAACCAGTTAGAATCTATAAACCCATGTAATAGCAACAAAAAGGATTAAAATATCCAGGAATAACAAGAAGAAACATGCAAAATCCATATGAGGAAAACTTCAAAACACTTCTGAAGGAACAAAAAATTGAATAAGTGGAAAGGCAGTGTGTTCTTGCACAGGAAAACACAACAGCATAAATATGCCAATTTACTCCAACTTAAATCATAAATTCAACGAGATATCAATACAAATACCAACCTTCATCTTCCACCTGGAGTCCCTGGGTAGTGCAAATGGTTAATGAACTTGATTGCTAACTGAAAGGTTAGAGGTTCAAGTCCACTCAAGGTTCCTCAGAAGAAAGGCAATCTACTTTAAAAAAAATCAGCCATTGAAAACCCTATGGACCACAATTCTACTCTGACACACGAGTTGGAATGACTTAATGGCAACTGGGATATTTTTCTTCTCCACCCACAGATCTCTAGACAAGGTGTTTCTAAAGCTTACATGGTAAAATAAATAAGAATGGCCTAGAAAACCCTGGAAAAAGAAAATAAGAGTAGACTAATATATCTATATCTATATATATCACGTACACACACACATACATAAAACCAACAGCCTGGCAACTTCTACATTGAAAAAAGCAAAACACCATACCAAAGGTCAAAAGACAAATGATTTAGGGATAATATCTACAACCCATGTTACAGACAAAGGACTAATCTCCTTAATTCAGAAAGAGCTTTCTGTAAATGGGAAGATCCGATATTCAACAGAAAAATGGGCGAAGGACATAAGCAGTTCATAAAAAACAAAACAAAATCACGGGTGGTCCTTACACATGAGAAAATATGTTCAAATGCAAAATAAAAGTACATAAAGTAACTATTTCTTGCAAATCACACTGACAAAAATCTGAGTTTGACAACTCTACAGGCAAAGTTATAAGGAAACAGGTACCCTTATTCATTGATGCAAAATATTTACAGCCCCTACAGACAGCAATTTGGCAACAACTATCAGAATTACAAACACATTTGCCCTTAATTCATCACCACCAGTAGTTTATCTTACAAATATATCTATACATGAAGTTGTGTTCTGAAATGGCAAATTATTATAAACAACCGTAGTATTCATCTAAAGGGGGCTGGTTAAATATATTTCCTCAATGATATAGCCCCGCAGTGGTAGATGCAGCTAAAAAAAAACGAGGAAACTATGTACTGATCTGGAAAGATCCAGGAATCCTTGGAGGAATGGTTGATTCCAGGTATGGGACAGGAAATATGAGACTGGCATCTTCTGCTGTGCCAGAAAGCAAGAAATCTATCAGGGACTAATGACGTATTAAAAGGATATAAAAGCTAACAAGAGGTGGCTCCCACTGGTCAAACACAGGACAACCTAAGCATAAAAAGAATAACAAATGCAACTGATTGAAACATATTAAAATATAAAAACCCCTAAATACATAATGATACTTAAAAAAAAAAATGCTTACAAAAAATCCCAAACCCATTCAACTCATTGGGAAGTAACTAGGGTACAAATTCTTTACTCTGAAAATTGGTTAATTAAATGAAAAGAATTAAGCATTTATTCTGCCATTCCTAGACAAATTGTATATTTAAGGGGAACCAAATAGCCCTAGCTGATGGGGTAAGTTCTTTTCCACATAAGAATTCTATCTAATGCAAAAGCAATAACAGAATTAAAAAAACAAAACAAAACAAAACTATCAGCTTGTAAACCCTACTGAAATAAATGATTCAGGTAACAATCATCAATGGATGCAACATTAGTAATTGAAAGGTTGAATGAAAAATTTACAACAGAGTTCAAGGTGCCATCCCTGAACATTCTGATAAATCTTAGCATCACTAAAATTAGAACAGCTAGCCTGTGTGCCACTTACATGATATAATCTGAAGCACTTACGATGTTTTTTCAAACAATTATTAAATCAAGATTCTATGACTAACTTCCATTCTCAGGAAATACATGAGATAGAGGAACTAGGTAATGACACCACAAGAAAACAAAAAGAAAAATCCAGATCTGAGGATATTCTATAGGACAACTAACCAGATTTCTGCAACAAGTCAACTGCATAAAAAAGAGGAAAAAAAAAAAAAAAAAGAGAAATGGGACTGCTACATTAAAAAAGGCGGAATAATTAAATGTGATGTATGGATCTTGTTTGGATCCTAATTAGAACCAAATAGCTGTTCAAAAAAAAAAAAATATTTGAGACAACCAGGGAAATCTGATAATGGACAGGGTATTAGAGGCTATAAATAATTATTTTTAATTGTCTTACATGTGATGACACTGTGGCTGTGTAAGAAAACATACATATTTTGAAAGATGCATACGGAGACATGTAGAGACAAAATAACATGCTGTTTGGGATTTGATTTAAAAATACTGCAATAAAGGAAGGAACATGGATAGATTAAGCAATGGTAGAAAAATTTTAACAATCCGGATTATGGCTACATACGTGGCAATTCATCATACTATTCTCTTTACTTTAATACATGCTGGAAAATGTTGGTAAGAAAACACCTAAAAACAAGAATGCAACTAGCACCACATTAAGTACCAGTAGCAGGCATAAGGCCTGGGATCACCATGACCAACAGACTTTTTTTCTTTTAAAATACGTATTTCATAATGAAACAACTTAGAGTTAAAAGAACAAAAGTGAGTTAAAATAGAAGATTGCTCAGATGATCATGTCAGGGCTTATATATTTGTTTTCATGTGCTTACTTCCTGTTTAGTGGCACTCCAGGGCAAGTTTTTTACAAAGGCTTTCTAAAATAAATGTAATAAAAATGTAAAAGTTTCTCCTTTTGTCTTAATGTTCAAATATTAACTCAAGATACCAGTACATAAAGTTATATATATAACGTATTATCTAAACACATACCTACACCCACACATAAACATACACCATATACAAATCAAGTAACCAGTACAGAATATTATGGCTTTAGTTCCCTTACCATCAATATTAAGCATCATTTTCCACATGGCAGGCCGAACAGATTGATGAAATCCAAACCATACTTCCCTGCCCCCTCCCAGAGGGTGGTCATATCCTTCTGGAGCTGAGAAAAATGAACGTCCCACAGGCGTGTATCTACAAAAATTACAATGGTATGTTTAATCTTTTCCTTCCCGTATAAATATTTAAATACTCTGCAGAACAGGAGGGACTACAGCACATAAAATTAATTTCTCATGATGATGCTTACAGTGAATATATGAAACTCAACATTTCCCAAATTTGTGAAAGCAAAAAAAAGTCGTTCTAAAAGAAAAGAAATCCATCAGCATCCTTCAATGACATTGCCTATTTATAAGACTAATGTTTGAATAAAAATAAATTTTATTTAAAATACTTTCAAAAAAATGGTTTAAAAAGGTTAAGTTCCAATCTTAGAAAACGCTAAAGCATAAATAATTACTGATAAAAACATATTTCTATAAATGTGTTTGCAAGACAAAAATTTTCTTTAAAAATACACACTGGTCCTATGTATATATTTATATGAAATAAAGGTATGCTTAAAACAGTAGCAATTTCAGCACAATTTTTTTTCTTTTTTCTTTTTTTTTTATTGTACTTCAGGTGAAGGGTTACAGAACAAATACTTTCTCATGAAACAGAAGTACACATGTTGTTTTATGACATTGGTTAACAACCCTACAACATATCAACCCTCTAACTTCTCAACCTCTTTTTTCTTTGGCGAAAATACACATAGCCACAGACACACCATTTCAAAAATTTCTACATGCACAGTTCAGAGACATTGACTATGCTCTTCGAATTGTGCTGTTATTCTCACTTAAGATGAAGGCTTACAGAACAAAATAGTTTCACATTTAACAGTTACTACAAATGTTGCCCTATGACAATGGTTAACAATCTCACAACACATCAACAATATCCTTA